TCCCAAACCCCGGCTCCCCCTCATCCTACAACCCTCCACCTAGTGACCTCTCTGGTCATTCCCAAGGACACTGTCAGAAGCTGGTGACTTCTTCCCAAATCTTCTAGGACCTGGACACTCACTCCCTCTTCCTCAACCTGGAACCTCTCAGATCCATTCCTTCCCAAAGGGTTCATGTCTCCAGACACTCAGGTTTCACCCCTGCTTACCCTTCTGCTCCCCCAGGTCCCCCATTTCCCAGGGGATCCAGTAATTCCCTCTAGAAGCTAATGGGTCTCCCCAGATACCTTTCAATCATACGCTTTGCCTATCAGATGAAGAGTCTCTTGGGAAGGGAATCTCGGCTTCCTGGGGACCTGGGAAGGGAGTTCCTGGCTGAACTGTCTCTGTCCTCAGCTCTTGTACCATTGATTTTATGCGGAGTGAGCACAGGAGACATTGGGACCTCCTGGCTGGGACACCAGACACCTGTCCCACGTCTCTGCTCAGTGGTCCCTGGCCAGCCAGCGGTGTCCTCTCGGGGACCCTGGAGAGCCTTGGGCTAGGCCAGCTTTGCTACCCTAATGAGATGCGACACTGGACATGGGGACACTCAGGGTCCCAGGACGGGCTGGGTTCAGCCCAAGATAGGAGCTAATTTGCATGAAGGGCCCTTGGTCCTGGGGTGAGGGTATAAGAGAGCTGGGCAGCGGCGGCCTCAGCAGAGCTCTGGGGTGTCTGCACAATGGCCTGGACTCTGCTCCACCTCATCCCCCTCCTCCTCCAGTGCACAGGTCAGGACTCCCTCAGAACCCTGACTTCCAACTCCCTACCCCCCTGCCACACCCACAGGGAACGTCCCCACTTGTCCTTCACTGGGACGTAACTCGTGTCTGTGTTTCCAGGCTCCTTTTCCCAGCCTGTGCTGTCGCAGCCACCCTCTGCATCTGCCTCCCTGGGAGCCTCGGCCAAGCTCACCTGCACCCTGAGCAGTGGCTACAGCAGCTACAGTGTGGACTGGTACCAGCAGGTCCCAGGGAAAAGCCCATGGTTCCTGATGCGAGTTGGCAGCAGTGGTGTTGGATCCAAGGGGAGTGGGGTCTCTGATCGGTTCTCAGGCTCAAGTTCTGGTTTGGAGCGCTACCTGACCATCCAGAACGTCCAGGAGGAGGACGAGGCTGAATATATCTGTGGGGCAGACCATGGCAGCTACATGTAACCCACAGTGACACGGGCAGAGGAGAAGTGACACAAAAACCCAGCTGACAACACAGCCTCACCCCTCCCACTACCTGATCCACAGTTCAGGGGGCGCCTGCTGATCTCCTCCTTCCTAGGGATTTTCATAACTCAGCCCCTGTCAGTGAGGACGGTCTGTCTGTGCATGACATGCCTGGTCTCGGTCCACAGCGAATGTTCCCCTGGGTTGGAAATCAGAAGCCAATCTGGGCTGAATTCCAGTGAAATACATCCAGCCCTGAACTTCAAAGCTACAAAACAGCATACCTGGTGTCCTTCCCTTTGGCAGTCAGTATGACATTCAATTTGCTGCACAACCGGGAAAGTAACACACAGATGAATCCAAGTGAGTCCGGTTTGATGCACTGCTTGAATGTACAGGTGTTTGGAACATGGAGCAAGGGCGTCTCCTAAAGAGAGTCCCAGGGATGCTGGTGCTGGGGTGTGTGCTAACGTCATGGGTGAGGTGGTAGAAGGAGAGGTGAGAGGAGGGGAGATTGAAGGAGGGGAGCCATCCTGATGAGGGCTGATGGGGAATGAAGTTGCAGGAGGCCCCTTAGTCTATTACCATGG